TAAACACGACAATATCGTTATTTTCTCAAAGTTCTCGTTCAAACTCCATTTTGTTCTATACTTTTTTCATGGGAACTTGCAGTACTGATGCAAATTTAGTTGTAGAAATAAATAGAACCGAGACGCATCAGTTAGGATTCAGTTCAGAATTTTTGGCTTTAATTCTGCGATTTACTAGAAATACTATCAGTAAAGATATTCTTTTTTTCGAAAATTTCAAATGTATTTCAACGTTTCCTGTGTAGTGTACAGCTGGCTATAATGTGTCTTATTCTTAATAATAAAGACTGCTTTATTTTGTTCTTTTTTCAATCGAATATCGTTTCATATTTCCTCATGATTTTATTGTATTCTTTAATAGGTAATTGTTCTTTGTGTTCAGCTTAATTTTATGTAATAAATAACAATACAGTCGAAGACACCACATGCATAATCATCGGTGTATTTCTTTTGTATAAGTCTAACTATTCACAATAATGAAATCTGTTAGATATCAGAAGCATTTGTGGCCAATTTAGAAAGCTGAATGAGTCTAATTCAGTCATCAATCACCAGTATACGTTCTGTTTCTGTTACAACTGTACCCATCATACGGTTAGGAGTTTCGCTCTGAGGCGTCCGATTTAACGTATTAATTAAATCTACAAAATTTTTTTTAAACGAGTAAGTCGAAGGATTGCTTCTTTAAATCCATATAGATAAACTAAATATTTTCACAATATCGTCACATATACATTCTGAATATGAACAAGATTGATCGAGCTGTACATAGTTGAAATATCTAATTGATTATCATATTTAACAAGTGAGCAACTACTTGAAAAAGCTAATATGAACATAAAGATTTTAATAAGATTTCAGCAGTGTGACAGATCCAGGAAATCGGGGATCTCAGAGATCTCCACTGACATGTTATATATACAAGCGTTTTCACCCTACTCATATATTACACATATCCGATATTAGCCTTTATCTCTACAAGAAATACTGTCTCTCATCACATCTCCCTAAGAGATGTCACATCTTCAGAACTTGCATCTCCTTATGAAAAAATTTATTTCAATTTTAGCCTAGAGATGATGCTGGAGATGCATCTCCTTACAGAGATGCTGCATTTCTACAAGAGATACCGTATTTCTAATTATATCTCTGTAAGAGATGCCACATCTCCAGGATATGCATCTGCTTATGAAAAAATTTTTTTCATTTTAGCCTAGGGATGATGCTAGAGATGTATGTCCTTAGGGAGATGCTGCATCTCTAGGATTAGCATCTCCTTATGAAAATTTTTTTTTTAAATTTTAGCCTAGGGAGAATGCTGGAGATGCATCTCCTTACAGAGATGTGATGAGAGATACGGTATCTCTTGTAGAGATGCGACATCTCCCTTAGGAGTTCGAGATGGTAAAAAAAATATCATTACTGTCTGATAATTCAATATTATGTTGTAACGTTGTTAGTATATGCAACATCTCTGAGGAGATCTCTGAGATTCCAGATTTCCTGGATCTGTGACACTACTCTAAGATTTCCATTTGGATCATATCGTACAATATCTCGACGGTATTCCATCACAAACTCAGATCCATACAGCTGATTGCTAGCATTGAAAGCAGTCATATTATGAATTAGATTTAGTTCACGACACAAAAAACATATATTGCACGTACCAGTGACGAACACATTATGCTTAATGAAAACTCGACGAATACCAAACGGTAACGAATAAAATTCTGGTAGACGTTCGATAACTGATCCAATACTACTAAAAAGCTCACGAAGAACATCCGCGGTTCCAGACAGTTTCAAACGTAATTTGAGTGGTAATGAAGATAATTCATGAAGAGAATACTGAATTGGTGTGGAAGGGTCTTGCTCATCAAATGCATGAAGAAAATTCGAAACAAGAGTCTATTCATTAGTTGTCAATGTTGAACGATCATTGCAAAGAAGACTAAGTGGTAAAGGCTATAGAGAAAAAAACCAAACATGTCATTATCCAAGAATATTCAAAAAATGATATTGCTATTGGTAATCGAGTTCGTTTATCGTCTATCGTTTGTAATTGTTGAATTTCCTTGGAGACATTGCTGGAATTAGAAATATTTTGAATTAATTCAAGATTCATTGCTAATGCTGAACATTTCTTTAATCGACAAGATGAATAGTAACTGCATGTTATTTTTGTTGTGTGGCAATCCTTTTGAAACTGGCAAAATGATATGAGCTATTCAATTTGTTGAGAAAAAACTTGTTTGTTTTCTTTAGAGATATAGATGAAACTGACAGATTTTTTATGTGCATTTTGGCGAAAAAAAGATTTACAAGTCATGCAAGTAATGACATTGAAATTTAGATCGCGTGCTACAGCACCACATATACGACATTTCTTAGAAGTCGTAGATGCATAATCTCCTATTCTTTGTCTTTTTTATCGTTAAGGAAAATAAATGTTAAGAGAATGTTGAGCTGCTGAACCTTTGCGAGGTTTTTTTATGAAATAAATATTACTCAAAGTTTCTATGTCAACACACGTATGTTTAATTTATGTTACAAGATAGAACAGAAACAGAAATAATATTAATTGGCTTACTATTTTTTCCAATCATGTATCTAGTCAAGCACGATAATTATATTGGAATAGATTCTATAGCGTAAAAATCTGACCCACACTAGTTTAATAAGGCAATCATTCCATTTGGCAGCTAATTTGCCTCATATTAAGGCAAACGCGAGTACATTTCTTACGAAATAAAAATATGGGACATGATGAAGATATATTCTTTGTAAATACAAACATTTTTGAAATACTTCCTTCCGTTTCATAGTTATTATTGTTGGTGTCTGTGTGTCTTTGATAAAACAGAAAATCTTAAATCTAATGTGTTATGATGTGTGTAGAATAATTCTGAATGTAAGTCATAAAATACGACGCTATAACAATGGTACCATATATCGATTCTTGTATTACATTAATGAGCACGTTCTGAAAAGGTAATTTTTTTAAATATTAGATATGAAATTTTCTTCACTTAGATTCTAGATATGTTTATATTTATCATACAATAATAAGCAAAATGACATGAACAAAACGAATGATAATCGGGAAAATATCTTCATTTTTTATAGAATGCAAAACAATAGTTCAAAATGTTGACCTTTAGATCTCATTGATGAGTATGTGTTGAATGATGATTTTTCGATGTGTTGATAGGAAATTGCCTCGTTTTTTAAACTATATGTGATTTGTTTTTGGCATACATTGACAAATAAAATAATAAGAAAAGAAAGAAACATTCGCGGAATAAAGTGACGATTTTTATATAGACTCATGAGAAAGACTTAACAAACAGCAATTAAATTGCTGTTTTTTCTAAACTCGTCAAAAAAATCTTGTAAGTCAATTTTTGATTCTATCTTATTCAATTGTTTCAGAAGTAACTTCTAAATCAATATTGAATTCTTATTGAGTATTATTTGACAAAATCTTCTTGATGAATTCTTTTAACCAACACGAAATGATGATGCAAGAGTTTGTTTTCTTGCACTGTTTTAAATATAAATATATGACCAAAATAAATTGTATAGAGTTCACAAGAGTAACAAAATTCTTATCAATTGGTAAAAAACTGATGTTTCATGACTAGCAATATGCGAGATCGGAACCAGGAGAACAAACTTGTGCCAACCGAAACTAAAGAGTATAGTTCAATGTTCTATGGTTTTAAGCGAATGATCTTATAGATCATCGGTTAGAACATAATTGAAGAGAGATAACTCAAAAATGTCCTAGTTTTCGTCTAAACAAATAAAAAAAATGAGTATAGAAGAACTTTTTTAGGATGTGATACGAATAGATTCTAGAATAGTTTTCTCTACACCTAAATCGGCATTGAAAAAACTAAAACCACCGGATGCATGACTACTAGGAAAGAAACTACTGAAACCAGTGGAAAAAATTCAAGACGACCAGGACAAAAAAATCTTGGTCCTGTACATCTCTTATAGGGATGAATGATAGATCACAAGACATCGATATGTCAATGACAGTTAGTAGGAATGAAAGGTGTTCATCTTTCTCTTTGTCAAATTTAATGTTCATTAGCAACCAAGTGTGATAAAAAGAAAATATCGAAGGACGACATATTCAACCTCAATTTATCATCGATTTTGAAATGTCAATATTTAATCCAACACGATAAATAAAGCAGAAAACGAATACTAGAATATCTATAGTAATGATGCCAAAGGAAGTTGTATGACTTTCAAAGTTTTTGAAAAGTTTCCAAGATTGTTTCTTATTCCGTTGAATGATGAGTTTGTTTCAGATATATATAACTATACGTATGGAATACACTTGTTACTAACACAAATACTATTTGCCGATCTTTATCAAGGATATTGTTTGTCTTATTGGCAGCTCTTTCATTTTATAAAAATATCATTTTATTACAAATAAATCTCAACGAATATTGAATTTATATTTATTATATAATTTACTAGAAGGTATTATTTTTATCTATTTAGTTTTGCTAAAATTCTATTAAAAATAAATTAATTGTGAATGAAATTCTTGCTGTAATCTTCGAGTTGGTCTGTTGCTTTTTCTCCTTCTGATATGTATGTGATTTAAACGAAGAAAATTTATTTCCAATTTTGATAATGATTCATTTTAATGTTTATTTTCTTGTTTTTCTTCATATTAGCCATTTTATTCAGTAGGAAAATAAATGAAGATTATTTGAAATATCAATACACACAATCACAAACAAGACAACGAGAAAAAAAAATGAGATTCTCGAAAAGTATGGAATGACTCTCCAATCTGGAGATTTTCCTTTATACATTTAAAAAAAACACGAAAAAAGACAAAAAATAAAGTAAATAAATGACTATGATAAATATCTCATATTTTAAGCTTTTATTGCACAGACATACACAAAATCTACTTAGCAAAAAAAATTATATAGATACTTACTGTTCAAAATATTACAATTAATTTATTTAAGATCAACATCACCATTGATCTTTTTCGCAATATCATCAATCAATGAGCGAACTATTCGATCAGAACGTAATGGTGATAATGATGTATCATCAAAATGTTTTAAAAATGATTCCTTATTTTGTTCTTCAACATCAGTAATTAATTGACGAAGTAATTTTACTTCAATTGATCGTTCTTCAAATAATGGATTATCATTTATATATCGATTCAATGCTGTACTAGCATTTTCAACATCAATACATAATGCACACATTGTTGCTCTATAATAAATTTTAAAAAAAAAGTCAAAACTAAAAATTTTAATTAATTACCTTAACCAATAATCTTTAGCACTAAATTTAACTAAAGCATCATCTTTTGCTTTCTCAGCCAGTTCTTCAAATTGTTGTTGTGCTTCAATAAATTGATGTTGAAGTACATGTATTTCGGCCATTTTCTTTTGTACTCTATTTGTACCTGCTTTTTGTCCTTCTTGTTTTAAAAATCGATATGCTTCTTTTAAACATTTCATCATATTTTCATAATCATTCATTTGTTCATATAATTCAGCAATTTTTTCAAATATTTGTGATGCCATTGTCCATTTACCTTGAGTCATATATAATTCAGCTGCACGTGTTAATGGTGGTATAGCTTGAGGTAAATCAAACATTCGATATGATGATGATATTGCTTCATACATTTGAGCTTTTTCAAAATCTTCAGTACTTAAATCTAATGCTCGTTTATAAGCTTCAACAGATGTTGGATAATCACCTTCGGCTCGTCCGGCATTACCAGCTTGAATATAAAGTACACGAGCATCTTCATTCATTACATTACCTGATCCAAGCATACGTTGAAATAGTCCACCAGCTGATTTAGCTTTCTTATTTGCTTCAGTCATTAACTGAGCAGCTGATTTATTATTCGCTCCACCAGCCATGAATAAAATGAGAAAAGAGAAAATCTAAAAAAACAAAAAAAAAAAAAAGAAAACAACGTTTTAATTTGATGATAATGACTGCAATGCATTTAAGCAGAAAAATTCTATTAATTACAAAAAAAAAAGACGCGACGGCGGGAAAAAATGAATGTAAGATAAGTAGATAAATTTATGTTGGTCTACATCTGAAACGAATAAAGAAAAATAAATATTTTAATTAAATTATCTTTTTTCATTTTTCTTTTTACCTTCCAACGATATCCACAACTTTTACAAAGAATAAATAAAGTCATGGGTTCATCAGCACTACGTGTTTGAACTTCTGTATACGCACAATTATTTTGTTTACATCTGAAAAAAATATTTCAAAATATTCTTTTGAATTTTATTTAAAAAATCAATCAATTTTACTTTTTGCATTGAATAAGATCAGTACCAGTGCCTTCATCAACAGCAAGTTGACATTCATTAATAGCCATATCTGTTAATTTTGATCGTTCTTGTTTTAATGCATCACTTGCCATTTCCTATTTTAGAAAGATGTTTGTTAAAAATTTTTTTTTTTGTTTTAATTTAAGAAAAGTAAAAGATAAACAAACTTCAGCTGTAAGTACAGCGAATCGTTCGGGTGTAATTATACCGAGAAGAACATTTATACGAAGATTTGGATTTTTTACATCTTTTAAATTTGAAATACGACTACGAACACGATTACGATATTTAACACCTGTATCTTTAAGTTCTTTATAGATAGCTAAACAAAAAAAAAACGCATCGAGAGATTTTATTTATAATAAAAATATTTTTATTTTTTACCATCTTCAATACGAGCAGATAATTCTACTGGATCATCAGATCCTTCAGGAAGTTCAGAAATTGAAAGAGCAGCGGCTAAAAGATCACGTGATTTTAATCTGAAATTTAAAAAACAAAAATCTTATTTTAATATTTATGAATTATTTGACTTTCTGACCGAAATTCGTCTTGAGTGTGTAATGCAGTATAACTATTCGATGTTGAAGATTTTATAAATGATTGTTGTTTTGTAGGTTTATCAGAATCACTATTTTTTCCATTAGTTACATTTGTTTCTTGTGAATTTTGGCTATTATTACTACTGTTTGATGTTGATTGTCTATCATCTTTATTTGCTGATACTGATGAAGTTTCTAATTAGGATTAACAACAATAAAATATATATATATATATATATTTATATTTATTAAGAAAATAAGAAACTAACCGGGTACAAGTTTTTTCCAATTTTTTAGAAGACTTTTAGCAACAGTTGATAAATCTTCATTAGTAATTAGTCGTCGTAAATTATTTACGGTCTTTCCAATACCCGTTTTATGCAGAGTACTAAGTGTTATACGCGATGCTTGTAAACGAACAAGTAAATCTCGAGCAATACTTTCATCCTAATATATTTTAAATAAATAAAAGAAAAATAGATTTATTCCAAAAAAATTCAAACAAACCACGTCAGGTTTATCGATCATTTTTTGTAATTTTCGATTAATTTTTATAATTTCTTCTTCAACCATATCTTCAATTAATGATGTAACTACTCTGCAAAAATAACAAAAAAGAAATAGAACAGTTTGCTTGATTAATTATTATTACCACTACTTTTTGCTTTGAAAGACACTTCATGTTGTTGTTGTACAAATAGTAGGAAATATGAGTCATTTGTTTTCTTGTCAAAAATGTGTGACTATGAAATAATTGTTATTTAACAAATATTCAATAATCTGATTCAATTAATAGATTCTATTTTAAAAAAATTTATCAATAATGCACAGATGGCGTTGGTAATGATTTTGAGTGCGTAAAGGCTCATGAACAAATTCCATTTGTTCGTTCAGATCGTTCCTTTTCTTCATTTGATTTAATGAAACTTATCTCTTAGTGGAATCTATCGAAATCGCAATTGATTGTATTGTACTTGCTAATGAGGATTAAATCAAATCGAATGATAATTGATCGATAAATACTAAAAAAGTAAAGAAAGTATGAAAAGTTATATTGTAATATATAATTTGATAAATCAAAATTTTCAAATTGTAATAACAGAAATAACAATAAAATAAAAGTAGAAATGAAATGTGATTATAGATTTGTGTCATAATTTGATACAATGCGAGAAGAATATTTGATCTAATCAAATTTTTTTCAAGATTTGATAGATTTTTTTTCCAAGACAGAATATATTGTACATTTGCATTTCATAGGATCAGAAAAAATATTGTTGCTTCCTTGACGTTTTATATATATATAGGCGTTAACAGTCAGTGGGATACCCCAATTTGCTTTCTTTCTATTATCAGTTAAACATATAATCATTTTCGGATCAAATTATCACCCTCATCACCACACAACTAAATTTAATATATTAGCTCCTGATAGTTATCGTATATGAAATTATTCAGTTCCCGAAATCGTGTCCTATAGTTTTTTTCTGGGGATGAAAAATTTCATATATGACAGTAATCAGAAGCTAATATTCTAGATTTAGTTATGTGGCGATGAGGGTGATAATTTGACCCGAACATGATTAGATTTTTAGATGATAATAGAAAGAAAACAAATCGAGGTGTCCCACTGACTGTTCACCCCCATATATAAATAAATCTTAAGCTTATGTAATGATTAGTCCCGATATTATTTCATTATTAAATTTTGACGTAGTGTTTCATCGAAGACACTTTGTTGGATCTGTTTGAAGACATTGACAATGGATACATTTTATATCTAATGTAATATCATCGTTCTCTGATAATGATTTTGTTTTGATAGCTGTATAAGAAGAAATTCAATCAAAATTGCTATTGATTCAGTTTTAATACCGAGTTTTTAACGTACGTATCTTTTCTTAAAAATGATTCTCTGATCAATCTCTTTTCTATTCTATTGAGTAAGTAGTTTTAAAGGAGAAGGTTATGTCAACCTTATTTAGTTTTTGATTTAGTCTATGATCAAATGGTTCTTTTTAGAAAAGTGTTGGAACAACTTTTATCATATCAATTTAACATAAATGTACGATAAACCAGGCACCAAGATTTTGGGTAAAGTAACACAATTTTTATTTGGACTCAAATGAACAGCTATTACGTTTCTAATTGAATTAGTGGTATTAGATTGCATGAAAACTGCATTAGCAAACGCTTGTTTCGATGGAAATAGCGTCAATTACATTATTGTGTGTGCAACATTCGAAATATTCGCCAATTCTGTTATTTTCTCTGCTATTACACAGTTCATTCAGATAAAAAGACTATAGTTTTATCTTTACTAGAAGATTTAATTGAATTATAAAACGTTGAAATTAAGTTTTAAAACATATTTTGAATACGTTGAAATGAATATATATTACTTCGTGGTATAAGATATACTTAGAATGACAATATATTGCTCAATTGTTTTCATCAAATAAGCCAAATATCGTTATTACCAGTATTGATAATCTGACTCATTTCAGTTCTTTTTTCATCAACTTTTATTGATGTAAAGTATATGATCCTTGTCGAATCACTTCGTATTAAATTATTTGTTTATGAATGTAGATTTTAGCTTGTTTAATTTAGTGGCGTATTCAGGAATTTTTAAGTCATAGGCCGTTTACAAGTTAAATTATTTTGAGGCACGTGCAGCAATAGACAATTGAAAATCAATTGGACTACAATTTTTGTTTTAAAAACCGATGTTTACTGAAGAAGAGTTCGTTGCTCTCAACTAAGAGGCGAGTTCACTTGCTTTTTTATACTGCTTCACAAATGTACTCTTCAACTTTGAAATATTTGAATATCTAATGTCAAAAACATAAATAAGCACAAATAAAATCATTAGCAAATTTCAGTGGAATAACAGTATTTTGACAAAAAAGAAAAATACCGTTGAATTGTCATCGTTGTGGTTATCAGTTTAATGGAAAACATAGTCAATTGATCCTTCCGAATCACTTGATTAGATCACAAAAAGATATAATGTATTAAAATGGTGCCACTTAGATCTTTGTACATGTATGTGTACCAAGATTTTCCGGTATTGGACAAGTGATATCATGCCATTGATTTATTTTTTGATGTTACACATCGTTGATGAAAAGATAAAATAAATAAATTCAAATATTGAAACATTTTCGATCTATTTTCTCTTTTGTCAATTTAGATCATATGAATCGTTTGTTTGCAAACATCACACTCGTATTGTATATAAACAAAGCGAGAAAGAAAGAGATTAGACCGGGTTTCATTTAACTTCAAACAAACGAACGATAAGCATTAACAAGCAAAGACTTAGTTGTTATTATTCATTCATGTACAATGACGACAAATATTTTGACTTCTCTTATGATGATTATTTGGTTAACAGTTAGACAAGGTATTGAAAAATAAGACAATATTTATTGGAAAATTTTTAGCTTTTTTTTTTAGTTCGAGCTGATTGTCAAAATGATACATCAAGTGAATCGACATTTGTCTATCGACGTGTGTAAGTAGATTTTAAAAAACAAAACTATTTATTTCATTGATTAGATATAATTATATTATTTTAAAATTAGTTGTTATTTTGCTAATTGGGCAGCTAAACGATATGATAATATCAGTCGTTTAACTCCCGAAGATATAGATCCATTTTTATGTACACATATTAATTTTGCTTTTGCTAAAGTACTTGAAAGCTTAATACTAGCACCATATGAAGAAGATGATTTAAAAGGATGGACAGCAAATTCTAAAGGCATGTATGAACGTGTATTAAAATTAAAAGAAATCAATCCTGATTTACGTGTACTTCTGAGTGTTGGAGGATGGACACATGCATCTCGTGGTTTCAATGAAGTATCAAAAAATGCTGCAAATATGTAAGTGTTATGCTTTTTTCTACATAGATAAAGAAAGAATTTATAGAATTTGTTTATTTATTTAATACAGTAAAACTTTTGTCAAGAATAGTGTGAAATTTTTACGTGATAATAAATTTGATGGATTAGATTT